CTAATTCACTTCAATTTCTTGTACAAATTATAATTCAGAAGTCTATACTATTATATTCTTTCATATAGTATATTTCAAACCGTTTAGAATCCATACAATCTAGTTACATATGCCAATTCACTTCACAAATGAAGAAAATAATTTAGTAACTAACTGTTGGTGGATGGATGTTTTTCTCATTGTTAAGGTTTTATCATTGGAAAATTTTGCGGTACTATTCTATTGTATCAATGTACTATTCTTGGTATAAGACTCAGCGTGATGTTAAGACTTATAGAGAAAATTAAACAATAGGCTTTGCAAAGTCCTATTTATTGTTGAGATCCATTTGGAGTTGTATACTCATTAATCTTGGTCCAATATTTATTATGTCAAAAATCGGATTTGCAAAAATCTCACATGCTTTTGAGTTTATTGGATCTTCTTTTTTGAGAAATCCAAATTTTTTTAAATTCTCAACTCCTGTAATTTACTCTCGGTGGAAGAGTTTAACTCCACCTTCTTCCATCTCTCTGAGTATGGTCGTATCTTCTTCCCTCTCATGGAGAGTGGTCGAATCCCCGCGCTTTATGCCACGAATTTCAAAGTCACACTGGAAAGTGACCAATCTGAGACTCTCCGGCTTTGCCGCGAAGACCTTCTTGACGCATCCGAGACATGCTTGGTTTTGCTGTCCATCTTTTGCGATGATCTATCTACTTTATGTTTTATTGCTTATCAATTAAGTTGTACTAATTTTGGAGGATGTTTAATCCCGTCCTATTATACTTTGATCATTTAAATGAATGAAGTAAGCTTGTTGACAAAAAAAAAAGATGGCCTTCGCTCTCTTTTGTTGAATCAGGATAGGAGAAATGATAGGGGATTGGTGGCATCAGATAGAGTATGCAAAGATCAATATGTTAGTGCAGAAGAATATGCTGAAGCAACAGGATCAGTGAAGCAGTGAAGAGTTCGTGTGCTACACAGAAGCTGGAAGGAATATTCAGCTAACTAAGGAGAAAAATCTTTTTGTTACTAGGTGGCGTTGGCACCTCGAGTTGGGAACCGCACTACCAGATGCAACATGATCAATGAAACAGTGAAGAGTTCGTGTGCTACAGAGAAGCTGGAAAGAATAATCAGCAAACTAAGGAGAAAAGTCTTCTTGTGACTAGGCACGCCAGATAACACCTCGAGTTGAGAACCGTACTACCAGGAAGCGTACGCGGGAAGTCGGGTTCGGGAAACAAGGAGGTCTGACACAAGTGCACAAAGTCAAGGTGCAAGTGGGATTACTTACTATTGATCAAAGGTTGATGGGACTGGTGGTCTGACATCAACAAGAATAGTTCTGTTGCCCTTTCGGATTAAGAGAGAGCTGTTTTTAGGGCTATAGGAGTTGCTGTGTGCTACTACTATACAAGGAGGGGGGATAGTTCATATGCCGACTAGTTCTTCCGAAATAGGTTTTTGAAGAACTCAGAAACAGTGATAGCCATTTGATATGTTGTGTTGAGTGAAAGAGATAGGTTTCGTAATTGTTGTTACGTTACATTGGGTAGATTAGGAACACGTTTAGGAGCGAATCACAGTGTGTGTGATGTCGCGTAACTCTAGGTAGAATAGGTTGTAGGATCTGTTCTATAGAAGTGTTTGAGTAATCTATCTGTTGCAACAGTTGTGTCGTGTATCAGCTGTTGTGCCCTGCGGGGAAAGCAATAAAGACTGTGTGTGTTTTTATTGGAAATAATCTATCTCTTGTTCATATCTCTGTTCAAGTATCTTGTGCAAAGGTTCTTGCTTTTTCAT